TTTCACACTCCATAAAGCTTTTTTTTTATTTTTTTTAACATTACAAATAAATCTATAATTTTTATTTCTAAAAGTTGTTAGTTCATCGTCGAAAAATACTAACAATCCACCATCAATTTATATTAAATAAAGTGTAAGAAATAAATATGTAACTTTCCTTATTCTTTCCGTTCTTTTCCTTTTATTTCTATTTATATGTTTTTTTTACAATTGGTGGGAAATATTCCCACAACCTCTACTTTTAGAGGTTTTTAAATATTTTCTCCTGACACACCTTATTTTGTATGTTTATGTTATATTTCATAAATGAATAATTTTTTACTTTTTTTACAATGAATAACTATATAATAAAACAAGGCCTTCGTATTTATATATGTTGCCTATAACCTGCCAAACAGCTAGAGCGATTGGGCTGGAATTTTTTTGTGGACGCTCATAGGGGGCCAGGGGGTGTTATAGGCTAAAAAAAATCCACTGGCAACGCTGGGTCCTTCAACTAGTATATTATATATGAATCATTCACATCAAATAATTTAAGGTTTGGTTGATGCTTCGCAGACTTCAAGACTGCTCTAAAAAGTTGGATCAAAGGCTTTAAAGTGTCGCAACGCCTTGGACTTTACCTTAACTAACTCACTTATACTTGTTAGTAGCCATGCCGCAGAACCTTGTTATTATACTGTGAAGAACTAGTTTTTTTTCTAGCTTTATAATCTTTAATAAGTAATTGACGAAAATCTCAAAGATGTTGTAAAAAGAAGTAATAAAAAGTCGCCATGAGCCCCGCAAAATGACCTATGAAGCCTCGTATATAGTTAATTTTTCATAATATTTGTTATTTGTTTTATATACAATATGCACTTATAAAACGATTTTGTTTCCGCTAGGTGTCTCTGCCATTAAAGCATCGAGAGCAGAGACATCTGGCGGCCAACTATTTTGGCGTTTTAAGTGCATTGAACGCAAATGTATGCGTGCAAATAAAAGTAAAAGAAAGATTCTTTTATGTTGTCTTCTAATAAGTTAACTGTAGAATTTTTTTTTACATTTTTTGTCGTCGTTATTTCATAGTACTTGATTCTCTTGAAAATTGATTCTCAAAACGGAACCACCCAAATGCTCTCAAACTCATTAATTAATCCTGTGATACTAATATTCGCCAATCTTTCTTTTCATTCTGCATGGGAGGGACGCGCCTCCTCTCAGGTGTTGCGGCCCCCCCCCCCCTTAGTTGCGCCTTCGTAAATGCTATAGCATAAAATTATCACCGATCAAATCCAAATTTAGTTCGGATTCAGCCTTACCCCCATTTCATTTTTAGCAAACACTTCTTTTAGAAGCTTCAGGTTGTTGTTGACCAGTGTGCTGCACTGCCATTGGCTGAAGTTCTGGTGACGTAATACAGACTATATGGACTATATGAAATAATATTGTCAATTATATTTATCAAAAATGCAAAATAAAAATAAAAAATGATAATAGGAGCAAACCTGAGATTCTCAGGCTCCTGTGGGATATAATCATTTTCAGATTGGTTGCGTATTTCCGGAATATGATCTGTTTAAACCTATTACTTTTATACAAAATTGTATATATATATATGAATTTTCGTATAATTTTGACACAGTTTTATATCAATTTCTCGAGACATGAACATCAGATAGATGTCTTATGTGTGTATCGTTCAATGCTGAGATTCGATCAGGTTTCATCCTATACCCCCTTTCATTTGTCCTTTACAGTGTGTACAATAACCTATTCTGAATACATGTACTGGGTATTCAGACAAATATTTCTTCTTCAAATGAAGTACCCCGTCTGCAAATCATGTATAATCATATGGTAGGGCGGGCCGCGTCGTTTCCATCTCCCTTATATTTCATGCTCCTTGATTTTTTCTCAATTATTTTAATTTTAAATGCACTTTTTGTTGCACAACAGGTTTCATATTTTCAAATGTTAATTTATTCCTGAGTTAGAAAAACCGTCTTTACTTTTTTGCGTTTGGTTGTCTAAGAAATTCTGCAAGTTTATTTGTTTACAACTTAATTACAAGTATGGATATTTTGCAATACGTTTCCTTATCTATCATATCCACTATTTCATATACTTTTGCTATACTTTTTTTCTCTCTTTCTATCGGTTCTTTTCATTCTTTTTCGTACCAATCATTTATTTTTTGTTTATTATTAAGCAAAGGATTCAAGTCTTTGCCATAAACTCAAACTTTCTTATCCCTATATTTTAGAAACCTGATGGTGTTGGTGTAAATCTTTGATAATCAAACTTAGGCTTATAAACCAGAGTTTGTGTCAAATACTCAATTTCTTTCCTGATTTATTAGAAACCTCATGTTGCATCTAATTGGCCAAATCCAATTAGATTTAAGTCAATGAGTAAGAAATAGAAGGGAGATGTAACTGACGCGGCCCGCCCTACCATTTGATCGTACATGCTTTGCAGAGCCCAGAACTTAAGACAGGGTATCGTTCTGAAAACCTATTTTAAAACCCGGGTTTCACAAATGGGGTTAGGCAGTTTTGTGAATATCAATATTTTTGTTATGAAATATTATTTTATTCAGTTTGTTTGTATTCTCCATTTTTTTCGAATCTCTTAAATCAAAATCTACACAAATGTTAAAACCCCAAAAAGGAAACTCGGGAGTTTTGTCCAACGATACTCTTTTAAATTTCGGGCTCTGACGGTACTTAAGAAATATTTGTCTGATGTACAATTACCGAGTATACAATAACCTATTTTGAATATTTCTTGTTCAAATGAAGTACTGTCTGCAAAGCATGCATAATCATATGGTAGGGCAGGTCGTGTCATTTGTATCTCCCTTCTATTTCATACAGTACAACTGTATTCTGTCGTCACAAGTGTCAACTTAGTTTTGTGTCCGACACAATTATCAATAATAGTGATAATTTTAGAATAAAGTGCTTATCTTATAGTAAAACAAGTTCAATTTTATGTGTTCTTTATTTTCTGTTTTTACACTTTTTTATTTAATCTTGGAAAACATGTCAACTAATGTGAGAAAATTTCGTTTTTCCTGTTATATTTGACACTTGTGACGTTGTGTATAATTAGTCCATTTGTCTGTTGCCACCTATGTTCCCACTAATACAGTACTCACACTGGCCTACAAATTTTCGACTTTTCACATTTATTATGTTGTTTAACTTTTATCCTTGTGATTTATTCATCAAAGATTGGTTTGTAAATTGTGAAATTTATTTATAAATTCATACAATTTTTTTGTAGATACACTGTTAAATTTCCATGTTCACCCTGAAGGGATGCGACTTCAGTGACGACTGTACAGAATATATGTAGACTTTTTAGTTTTAACAAAAGTGTTGGTTCCCTGCAGCTGGAAACATGTTTCTTTTAGTGCCAAATTAGTTATGGCAGAACATTAAAAGACTATTTCATAAATTTTTGGTCCTCAGTAAAGTGTCATCTTTTGTCGTTAGTTCTGTATATTAATATAGATATCGATTCATCATAAACTTTGTATATAATATATATACAGAGTCAATTCTTTTTTTGTTTGATAAGTTTTGTTTTGAGTATCGACATGAATAAAATGTTTACAATGACAGATATACTCAGTTATAATTTATTTATTTGTGCCAAATGGTGCTCCAGAACCCCATGACAATACGCTGTTTCCTGATCCTTTGATGCTTCCTTAGCCTTCATTATCTCTAAGTAACTGCTCAATTTCCTGCCGAATCCTGTCCGCCTCTCGTTCTGCTGTCTCAGCCTAAATCAATTAATCAATCATACTACCAACTTTAGGACCCTCCTAACCAAAGATGGTTGGTTTGATTTGAATATTATCTTTCTTGAACGTTTAAATTAATCTCAACCTTTTCTTCAGCTTTGGTAGCTTCATCATCCTTCTCAGCAGAAGCAGCTCCATACATGTCCTCCATATCTCTAAACAGTATTATTCTACTGGGCGCAATTTAATACTTCTAAGATGACTGTATACAGATTTTTTGAATTTAGTTTTGCTCAAAACTTTTATTTAATTTCAGAAATGAGTTTGGTTGAAGAAAAACGCAATATTTTAATTGAATTATTCAGATGTTATCAAAGTCTCAAGTTTGAAACAAGAAACTGAGTTCTTCTCACACACTTTTACATTTCAAGCTATTAGTTCTGCTAGATTAGTGTCAAGTTTGATATATCAAAGGTTTACACCATCAGGCAGAAAAGATATGTTAAAGAAATTGAGTTTGAGCAAAGAACTAGATTTTTTAATAAAATATTGTTTTTACCTTAACTGTGAAACCTTTTTTCTTTTTTCTTCAAATTCTCTAAAAATAAACACAATTTTAATAATTTCAACAATTTCATCTCATTATACATAAAATTTTATTAAACCATTTTATAGATTCTTAAAACTTCCATAGAATCAATATAACGTATTTTTCATTTGACTATAATAGATAAATATTTGCACATTATTAAATTCATTTTTGGAGACACACAAATGCTCCAATTCTATAATTTATAAACTTATTGAAATGTTTTCACCAAAAGTAATCTTCAAAACAAACATTTTCTAATACCTTCATCTTTGCAACCTGATGGTTTAAACCTTTGATATTTTAAACTTTGATTATTTGCTCTAAGATAAGGCATAGTTTGAAATATCGTAGGTCTATGACATTGGGTTGCAAAGCCAAAAAGATTAGAAAATAAGAGTTTGGGGCATAGACTCCTTTACTTTTAACAGTTTGAAGATTTTCTTTAAATCAGTATCCGTTTTGGATCAAATTTTAGGAGTAGATAGAAATTATCTGTCATCACATTTTTTGATTTTAAATCCCTTATTTCAATGGGATTAATAGTTTGAGGGGGATTTTAGGTCACAAAAAATAATTATTTTATCTATCTATCTATCTATCTATCTATCTATATACCTATCTATACCTATCTATCAAAAGTTTACAAGGAAAGTATAATTTTGTCGAAGGTCACACTTATCAGATTATTTTTGAAATTAAGAAATGAAATAAATTTTTTTTTAAAGAAATATTTTTCACCTCCTTTTCTCCTCTAGCTCTCTTCTTAACTCCGTCAACTATAACAGATGATAGAATTAAAAAGATTGGTCAACAAAATTACATTTCTCTGGTTTCATACTCTGGCCAACTGATGTCGTATACCTTTCATTTCAAAATATGAAATTTGATAGATCATATTGAAAAAATTTGAAGTATTAAAAATAAACAGCATCAGGTTGCAAGAATAATGTTTTATTATAAAATTACGCTGTTTGTGTAAATTGACCCAATTTCGGCAATATAGTTGCTTATTCCATACATTTATATCTGAATGTGACGTAATTTTCTTTTTATTTATAAATTATATTATCCCAGACAAATGTTAAAATATGTATACACTAACGTATATGTATAGTAAAGACCCACTTTATATACGCATCTAGAAATAAGGAACAATTTTTTTCTTCAAAACTATAATTTTGTCATAAATAAGTTTTGATAAAATGTTCGTAATTTCCCAATGATTTGATTAAGTTCTACCATTGGAATTTGCTTTCTTAAGAATAAATGTAATTCACGTCAAACTAAAGTAAATTCACGTCAAACTAAAGTAAATTCACGTCAAACTAAAGCAAATTCACGTAAATTCACGTCAAACTAAAGTAAATTAACGTCTAACTAAAGTAAATCCACGTCAAACTTAAGTATATTCACGTCAAACTAAAGTAAAATCACGTCAAACTAAAGTAAATTGCAATTAAAATTGAAATCCTTCAGCAACAAATCCTATTGAAGAGATATTGAGATTAATAAAACTAATTTTTAATATGTAACCGGGTAATTTTCCTGATCTCATTCTAAAATCAAAACTCGAGGAGCTACGATTCTAGTTAGCAATGTGATTTTAGTCTAATGCAGAATATATTTTAGTTTAATGTAGCCAGAATATTGAAGTTAAGGAAATTTTACTTTACCAAGGGTTCCCAAGACCAAAAAATTAATTTTTCCCAAAAAAGTAGTCGTACACATTTTTATTATCTTTTGAGATGAATATATTTTTATGAAACCTTCGCAGAGCGGGTGGTTATTTTTTTTTGTCCCAAGGGACGTTAAGTAACATAACTTCCCTCTGTAAAGGGAATCATGGGTCGGTAATGTTGGTGAGAAGACGGTAAAAAAATGTAAATTTTACTTTTTTATGTTTTTTAGTTTAGTTTAGTTATTTTGTTAACAGATCAATTTAAGTATTTGTTTGAATGTTCAAGAATTCACCTGAATCTGTATATTCTCCATATCCTGTTTCAGTTCTCCTCTAGAAAATAAAAATAAATTAAGCTTTTGCCACAACACAAACTCAATCTTTTGTATCCAATTACTTTGCAACCAAATGTCGTAGACCTTTGATATTTCAAACTATGAATATTGAATTGCAGTTTAAAGATTACATGTTCATCTCCCTAACCATATTCCATTATCTACCTATCCATATTCAATTATCTATCAAACCATATTCCATTATCTTTCAAACCATATTCCATTATCTATCTAACCATATTCAATTATCTATCTAACCATATTCAATTATCTATCTAACCATATTCAATTATCTATCTAACCATATTCAATTATATATCTAACCATATTCAAATATCTATCAAACCATATTCCATTATCTCCCTATCCATATTCCATTATCTCCCTAACCATATTCCATTATCTCCCTATCTATATTCCATTATCTCCCTAACCATATTCCATTATCTCCCTATCTATATTCCATTATCTCCCTAACCATATTCCATTATCTCCCTATCTATATTCCATTATCTCCCTAATCATATTCCATTATCTCCCTATCCATATTCCATTATCTCCCTAACCATATTCCATTATCTCCCTATCCATATTCAATTATCTATTTAACCATATTCAATCATCTATTTAACCATATTCCATTATCTCCCTAACCATATTCAATTATCTATCTAACCATATTCAATTATCTCTCTATCCATATTCAATTATCTATCTAACCATATTCAATTTTCAAGCTAACCATATTCCATTATCTCCCTAACAATATTCAATTATCTATCTAACCATATTCAATTCTCTATTTCACCATATTTAGTTAACTTTCAAACTATATTCCATTATCCCCCAAACCATTTTGCATTATCTCTCTATCTCTATTCAATTATCTCCCTATCCATATTCCATTATCTCCCTATCTATATTCCATTATCTCCCTAATCATATTCCATTATCTCCCTATCTATACTCCAGTACCTCTCTATCTATATTCCATTATCACCCTATCCATATTCCATTATCTCCCTATCCATATTTAATTATCTCCCTAATCATATTCCATTATCTCCCTCATCATATACAATTTTTTTCATTCCATTATTCCATTTTATGACCATATTCCATTATTCCATTTTATAGCCATATTCTATTATTCCATTTATAACCATTTTCCATTATTCCATTTTATAACCATATTTTATTATTCCATTTTATAACCATATTCCATCATTTCATTTTATAACCATATTCTATAATTCCATTTTATAACCATATTCCATCATTTCATTTTATAACCATATTCTATAATTCCATTTTATAACCATATTCCATTAATCCAGTTTATAACCATATTCCATTATTCCATTTTATAACCATATTCCATTATTCCATTTTATAACCATATTCCATTATTCCATCTTATAACCATATTTTATTATTCCATTATAACCATATACCATTATTCCATTATTTCATTTTATAACCATATTCTATTATTCCATTTTATAACCATATTCTATTATTCCATTTTATACCCATATTCCATTATTCCATTTTATAACCATATTCCATTATTCCATTATACCATATTCCATTATTCCATTATAACCATATTCCATTATTTCATTATAACCATATTCCATTTTTTTCAACCTTGTTCCTTCTAATCACACAATTTTCTTCTTTAGTTTTAGTTTGCTCTTTTACAAACATTTTGTACTCACACACAATGTGACTGTATTCTTACACAATTATCAAACAATTTCATTGTATTCTCACCAAATTTTATTGTATAATCAAACAATTTTATACTTTTCTCACACAATTTTATTCATGTCTAACGCAATCTTAATCTATTCTCACACGATCTTCACGAATTTTAATAAGCTGACCTAAACCGAGCGTTCTCAATAGCAGAACCCAACAGGATTTGTACAATCTGATTCTTCTCTTCTACTTGACTGCAGTAAAAAGCATTTTCAAAGGATTTTTTTAAAACTTACTTTTTAAAAAAATTTAAATATTTATTAAAAAATCTAAATGAAGTGAAAGAAACTTTTCCTGAGGCAGTGATCGGCTTGTTTATCAAGTTCTTCAGCTTCAATAATCCTGTAAAAATAAAAAAATAAATTTTTTTAAATCTTAAAAATGCATTTATGTATTTTCATATTATAATTCTTGGACCAGATAAATAACAAAAAATGTTTTTCTTCATTTAAATCTACGAAATATTCATTCATTGTTATTATAAACAAAAATTACTAAGACATATTTAACCCTATTTGGTCTGGGGACCCCCCCCCCCCATCGTTTTTATGCGATTACTCAAAAATAATTTGAGCTAGGAGGCTCAACTTTGAGCTACGAAGCTCAAATTTTCTGGCTTTGTTAACTTACACATTCCCCTCAGTTAAGGCTAAAAGCTGGGCTTTTATACCTACTGCCTGAGTCCTCAGATATACTGCCTGAATGCCTTATTTTACCTACACCAGATTAAATCTATATTTAGACCTACTTACACTTTACAGCTCTTTGGAAAGCAGAGAGTAAGCAAAGAAATTTTCCAAAGAATTTTGCACAGACGCCTTTAAATGGAATTTGCGCATTTTCAGTTTTTCTTGAATTCACATTTAGGTTTTTAAATTTTTGCAAATGGTTTTGCATATTTGAATTCGCACAATAAGAAAATAGAAGTGAGGTCAATTTGACCCTCCCCCCCCCCCAGGAAATCAGTCAGTAAACCAGACGTCAGGCTAAAAAGGGTCAAATGTTTTATAACTGAAGATTGATAAATTTCCATTGTGGTTTTAGTGGTTTGCGGATGGCAAAGATTATCTAAAGAAATTAGTATAAATCAATTTCTTAGATAGAAAAACGAATATATATATTATTGTTTCTTGATAATGGTTTATCAAGGATGGTTTTGGTTTTGCAACTTTTGGGGTATACTTACACTTACAGTCCCTTGAGATGAGAAAAGAATGAAAAAGTATTTGTAATGAAAAACTAATCCATAAAGCTGAAATGAACCAAAGACGTTAGAATAGTAGAAGACAGGGCATTAGGAATTTATACGAATAGTGTGTTTTTATAAAACGTTTTCAACGGATTTCGAAAATTTTGAGTTGTGTGCGGCATTCTTAGATAGTTGCGCAAGCGACAAGAGAAATAAACAAATTAATTAAAACATATTATAAAATATAAACTATATACAAATGTGGCGAAAGATAATCGATGACTATATGGTTGTAATATCTGAATGATTTGTTTGAAATTAATTTGATTTTTTACAGTCTAAGTAGTATGTTGCAATTTGCACAATTTGTATGGACGCTAAGTTATTCGGTATGAGACGTCTTTAACAATTTTCTCCTTACAGACGCAACAGATAGAAATAAGATTAGTAGCGATCAAAAGCGCTTTTTTATCGCATTAAGCCTATACCCCCTTTCATTTTTCGCGAACACTCCCTTTAAAACGTCATTTACTAAATAATTTAATCATTGAAGTTGCTAAATATGGTGGGAAAATAACGACACGGTTATAAACTTTAAATTTGTTTTAATCAGTTATAGGATAGGATGCTCTCCTGACAAAATAAAGCTAAAATTGTGATTTTGTTACGCATCTCATTTGTATGAAAAATACCACATATTTTAAAACAAAATTTGTTAGGTGTCATTAAGTATAGTTTTGTAAAAGTCTAAGCAGAATTTTAGGCCAGTAACGTGAGCAAGGCCGAAAAAAACCTTGGTTTTAAGTAGTCAAATTTATTTTGACCAATTACATTGCAATCTGTTTTAAGATAAAGTTTATCTAAAAAGATAATAAATATATGCATTTCTAACGGAAAATTACGTAAAAACGCACGTTTTTGGTGATGGAAATGCTTATAAAGTCCTAAAATCTTTTTAAATTATAGAAACGACGACATTCTTTGGCTTCTTATTAAACCCAATTGGAGCGTCTGGTTTTGCGTATAAATCTCAATGCCGTCTCTTTATATTACAAAGCTCTTTGAAATGAACTATAAAATACTTACAGTTGTTCCACCTTCCTAAGGATAGGATTAGCTTGAACAAGGTTTCCATGTGATCTATGATCAATTCCAGAAATACAGTCTTGACCAGCCTGAAAGGGACTGTTAAGGTAAAATGAAATGGGGTATAGACTGAAGCCTAAATATTTTAGGAGTAGATTGCGACCATTATTAGTTCTATCTGATGTCCTTGTCTCAAGAAATTGATATAAACTGTGTCAACACTTCTGAAAATTCGGATAACAAAAGGGGCCTAAAAATTTTAGGTACGCTCCTATTTTAATTTGAATATAATACTTACTAATTTTTAATAGATATAATTGGTAATAACATTGTTACGTCTGTATCACATTATTTTACATGAACAGAATTTCCACCAATGACAGTGCAGTATCTTGTCACGTGGCCTCGTATGTATCACATGATTAGAATTTTCACTCGTCCAGTATCTGGTCACATGGCTCCGTCGGCAATATTACATACAGGGTGTCCCAATAAACATGGGAATTCAGTGACGAATTCGTATCATCTTTTCAAATAATTATTTGATTTAGTATAGTGATACCTGCCGAGAAAGCTGTAATCTGTAAGTTTCGTCTGCTATGTTCACATTTTGTTTGTTTATGTTTAGACTGCAAACGGTTGTACTTAGTAAAACAAGAAAATTGCCGTATACAAACAGAGTAAACTTGTCCGTCTTCACTGTTCATCTTGCGGAAACATTACAGACACATCTTTACAGTCTTTTGATCTTTTCATAAATTAAACTCTAGCACACATAATAATATTATGGCTTTTGAAATTAGGTATTACAATGCTGATTCATAACAAAGACGATATCGAATTCGTCAGTGAATTCCCATGTTTTTTGGGACACCCTGTATATTTGAGTTTTGGGATAACTTTGACACAGTTTTATATCAATTTCTCGAGACAGGAAGATCAGTTAGAACTAATCTTGGTCGGGATCAGCTTCTTAAATTTTTAGGCTTCAGTCTGTACTTCCCTTCATATTACCTTAACAGTTTATTTAAAATAGAAATTTTAGATTTTATGATTTTTAATTTCATAATAGCAATAAAACCCTGAGCTGATAATGTGAAAGTTGATTAAATATTAAAGTCCTTAAAAGGATTGTGAGCATAACTTTAAATGACCCTCTACACAAAGATGCGCATTTCTATATACTACAGAAAAACAGATATAGGAATACTCCGAAATAAAACTTTAAAAAGAAAAGCGCCAGTGTATTCCATATTATTGATTAGATAAAGTGTGTAGAGGGCAGTGTTGTGAATCAGACATTTACATCTATAGATAAACAGTTACCGGAAATTGCACTTATAGTCCCTTTAATCAAAACTGCATTGTTTAAAATAAGGAGTTAAGTTTTTGCCACAAACTCTCATTTTCTGATCCTTATATCTTTGCAATCCCGTGACATAGACCTTTGATATTTCAAACTATATTTTCTGTTAGATCAAATAATCTAAGTTTGAAATATCAAAGGTTTACACCTGTAGTTTGCAAAGATATGGGGACCATACCATATGAGTTCGTGGCAAAAACCCAATTTTTTTTTTTGTAAATTTATAAAAAAAAAAGCTAGATGTCTCGTCCAATGTTAATTAATCGATTGAAGATTGCTGAGTTATCTCTAATAACAAAAATTTTATTTTAGAATTGAAATTATTGCAGGAAGCTTAATAACGTTAAAATCGAATACATATAAAGTAGTAATCTGTTTGTCTCTGTGTGTTTCATATTCTATCTCATAAATCCCATGATTGATTGATTGATTATAGTTTTGATTGGGAAACTCGTCAGACCCTCGGAAATGTTATTAATTTGTTACCCATTGATTAATAATAATACAGATAGAACACTTAATGTCGTCCTCTGAAGATTTAGGGGTTTTTCGTTCACAATAACCGTGAGACTGAGGCCCAAAGGAGTTAAGCGAATGCCGGGTTGAATTACAAGAAGAGAGCAAGCTTATGCACAACTACTTCGGGCTTCTGCCTTACAGATATTGTCAACGAAAAACCCCTAAATCTTGAAAGGACGACATCTAGTGATCTTTCTGTTATTGTTAATTAATCTATGGTGTCAACTATTTCCTTATTCATGCTCTAATAGAA